CATCAACCCACTTGCCTGGCAGCAAGCAACGCACATGCCAGAGCAGCCCGGCGAAAGGGACGAGGCTGCATCCACACAGGCCACAGGTCAATTGATACTGTCGCCGTCAACGTGATCTACTAAAGAGTTGATCAATTTCCGATGTGCATCTAATGCCTACTAGGAACAAGAAGCTACTAGGGGCTCTTGGCCTTACTACTAGGAGCAAAGGACGCTACTAGGGGCTCCTGGCATCGCTACTAGGAACAAGAAGCTACTAGAAACAACCGTGGCTTTGAATTTAGTCATTGAGATGGACGACAGTTTAGTCATTAGCGTAAAAGACGGAACATGTAGGAACAAGTTGAATTGCAGGTATCAACAGGTGATGATTCGACATAGTCTTGAATATCTTGAAATGCTGTCGAGTCCAGTGCATACGTCACACATGTCACACATGTCACACATGTCGCATTCTGTTGAGTGAGGAGTCAATCTTGGGGTCCCGGGCTTCACTCCCGGGTCGCTATACCTTGGTAACTCCATTTCCAACCTCTGCCGCCTGAGGTTCGTTCGCCAAGCAACTCTAGATATCTGCTCATCGCATTCCAAACTCCTGACAAACCCACCAATGGCAAGCGAACAATCCAAATCTCCAAATCACATCGTAAGCGCAACGTTCGCGACCAGTTCTAGGCAGTGAACCCAGTTCAAACGCCAGTCCCATGGTTCAGTGATGCTCTTCAGTTGTTTCCAACGGCTTCAAGGTGCGCTTTGTATGATGTAGATTAAAAGGCCACGTCTGTCGTTTGAAGATGATGATCCGCACTGTTGGATAGATTCTAGCTCGAAAATGACTGCAAAAATAGCGCCATGTGACCCTGTCCTGGCAAAGCTCCAAGGTTTTGATTGCTCGATGAGTTGAGGGAGTCGACGACTTGTGTTGGCCGCGTTAGGTCGACTTGTGTTGCCTTTCGGTTGGCTGCTGGCGCCTGGCTCTTCACTTTGCTGAACCGAAGTGACTGTGGCAAACCTCTTGCATGTGCAGCTTGAGCCAACCATCTGCATGCTACTTAGGCTGGAAAGAGGCAATGTTGAAGGCGGACAATGAATCAAACTGAAACATAAGAACTAGCTGGCCAGTTCCCACCTTACATCTTCTAAGACTTGAGATCCTTCAATTCTAACTATATATATATAACTGCATAAAAAGTAAAAGCATGTGCTTATATATTAAATATATATATATGTGCATGTGTCTACATATTCTTTCCCAATGGAGCAGTCTTATGAGGGACAAGAGACTTTATGAAGCACGGACTGGCGATGAACCAAAGGGTTGTATCTACAAATCAAAGGCAAAGGGAGAGAAAAGAAGAACAACAGCAGCGGACTAAGCATACAACTTGCAAGAATCAAACACAATCCAAACGTTAGCTGCGTATTGAGACCACGTGACTGTGACTGGGCACAGCTGACCAAACAAACGAACAAAGACTGAAGCATACAGACATGCAGTACCACCATATGACCATCTTCAAAGACTGACAAACCCGCACACAGAAAGTTCTTGCCCACTCTCCGGAGGAAGTGTCCGGTCTGCGTACGCCAACCTTTACCTTCCAAGCACTCTCCATATAGCAACGATCTCTGACTGTGATTTCTGATGAAAAGACCTCAAAAAACACACTGAATTTGCAATAACAAACCAAGATTTAGAACACAAACCATGGGGGCGTTCCTTTGCATCAAGAAAAACCATGAATTTGGATGTGTCTTGCCAAAGTTGGCTGGTGAAAGAATCAAAATTTGAGAGCATTGCCCAGGCGATTGACGGGATTTCTGAAGCCTTTGAAGAGGATGAATTATGTCTTAGCAGCACATTGTCCACGACAAATATGTACGAGCAGTTGACCACTGTGCGTTTGACATTGAAACGGTGGTTGTTTCAAGTTGCAGAAAATGAAAACGGCACAAAACAAAGTACATATGCGTTCTGGCAACTCCAAGGAAACCCGAGAGAAGCCGCAGCCTAGTAACAGCTTGCTTTAGTTACGCAGTTTGGCAAAAAACAGTTTGGAGACCTGGCCTCTCAAAAATGGCACTATCACTTCCTGATGCAATATTGATGTTAACGACGTAGATCGTTGCCTATCAATATGATCAACTTTCAAAAGGCCTCCACTTCAGAAGAGTGACGAAAGATTGGCAAACGTTGTACAAAATGAAGGAACACAGGCTCAGGGACATATTCAAGCGATGTAGAAACAGTTGGGTTTTCCAAACTGTGTTTGCTACTTTGTGCCATTGCAGCCCACATGGATGTTGAACAAAGATCAAAATACAAAAAACAGCTTCCAGCACAATCAACAGCTGAGGCCAACCACATCTGAAAATGAAACGACGCATCTTTTGGCTGCATGATCGCGATTGGCTTCGGTTTTTTGGTTGAGACAGTTTGAAACCATGTCCTTCTGTGGGACAGCGGTGCATTTATACGTAAACTGTACACTTGAAGTCAAGCAGTCGATTGTAGGTTACTGCCTGGCAGCATCAGCGCCGTAATAGCATGTCATAGCCAGCCTTCGTGCCTGCCAGGCGGCTGGAACTATCACCGGAAGTTTTTTCAGAACAATTTCTTCAACAGCAACAAACTCGTCCGCTTGGCCCAACGAGTGCTTCATGTTTGTGCTACTGGCGTGACAATTGCGCTAATTGGTAGTCGTGCACTTTTCAGCAAATCACACATATTTCTTCCCATGGTGTTACACTTCTCATCAAACGACACCGCCTCATGTTCACTGTAATACATTGGGCACTTTGTAATCACGTCTGCATCTGATGTCTTTTCACAAATTTGTGTGACAGTTCTCATAACACTCGCCTGTTAGATTGCTCTGGATTACAACGGTCGACACACTTAGATAAAGGCTCGCAAGAGCAGTATGAGTGATGATCTTCCAGTGAATCTAGCCCTTTACGCTTACTGCAGATTAGACTTTGGCTGGTGAACCGCAAGGTGGAAGAGTCCGCATCAACAGTAGTGTTTAACATGGGTGAAACGGAGGAATCTCATTAGCTCTTTAGCACTCTAAGGGCATATTAAAGCAGTTGGCGCAGGTACAAGATACTGCTTCCAGTATGTCATCCAGCCGAACACCATAGCTTCAGCTAGGTGAACGGCCGCCGTGCCCCCTGCTTTGTACAATTAGTGTGGTCAAGTTCCGAAGAAACAGGAATTGACACACACAACCAGCCGGTTCGGCGCACGCTCTTTTTCCGGCGGAAGGGGGGTGTGGGAAGGGGTGGGGGTGCATTGACTAAACGAGCCTAGAAGTCAACCTAACAAGCCTGAAAGAAAGAACAAACAAACGAAAAAGGCAAGGCAAGAAAAGAAAAGAAAAGGTGCAGTACGGGGTGCGTTGACTAAACGAGCCAAAACGTCGACCTAACAAGCCTGAAGGAAAGCCCAAGCAAACAAAAAAGGCAAGGAACGAAAGGGTGCAAGGGGTGTGGGGTGGGGGGAGGGTTGTAGGCCCGAAGGGCATTGACAAGAAGCCGAAGCCGGCGCGCACTTGACTAAAAAGCCTCAATTACACCTAAATAGCCTCTAGAAAACGAAAAAAGACCTAGAAAACGAAGAGCAACAGCAGGAAGGAAAGAACCGAAAAATTAATACATAGCAGTCCAGCCTGTGGTCTATGAATACTTAGCCGCGTGGAATGTCATTCTTCAGAAGGATTGTCCGTGAGCCCTGCGCCATATGATCAGCAATCTCGAGCAAATACGCAAAATCGACGAAGTTCCAGTGCAGGTGGAAGGGTCTGGGAATGTTCACCCGTGGGGGTATGTGCATATGCGGCGCCCCTCGCTGGGGATCACACCACAGCCCACAGTGGGACTCTGTGGCGAGACACACTTAGATAAAGGCTGCCAAGAGCAGCATCAGTGATGATCTTCCAGTGAATCTAACCCTTTACGCTTACTGCAGATTAGACCTTGGCTGGTGAACCGCAAGGTGGAAGAGTCCGCATCAACAGTAGTGTTTAACATGGGTGAGACGGAGGAAACTCATTAGCTCTTTAGCACTCTAAGGGGATATTAAAGCAGTTGGCGCAGGTACAAGATACTGCGTCCAGTATCTCATCCAGCCGAACACCATAGCTTCGGCTAGGTGAACGGCCGCCGTGCCCCCTGCTTTGTACAATTAGTGTGGTCAAGTTCCGAAGAAACAG